AATTTCAGCCGGTAGAAATGACAAATTCCCGCTCATTTTCCGAATTTCTTGACCGAACTCATTGTACGTTATACGCTAGCTACGGTCGAGCGCTCGCATGAAAAAAATACGTAATATACTGACTTCGTTCGTGCAAAACCTGTATAGAGACGTGAAAATAACAGGTAGACATCCTTGTGGTTAAACATTTAGCGAAGTTTTGACGGTTGTTCCGGAAATTTCACGATCGCAAGTCGACATTGGCCAGGCAAGTTAGATATCGTCGTACGTGAATCGTCAAGTGGGGGAGGGGGGCGCTCGTGCGTAACTTCTGTTCTTTCGAAGATTATCCTCTACATTCTCCGGTAATATTTCAGTTTAACTGGATTAACTTCCACAGAAACGTAAAAATGTTGAACTGAGTTTCTAGCGGGACGAACTTTACCGCAAAAGTGACGGCTGCGAGTCGAAAATTTAATCATTTTTAATACTACGTCACGGCGGTGTGCATGCCTTTCTAGTATTTTCGTGTAACTTACTGTGCAAATACAGAAGAAGATGCAGCACCGCTCGATGCCCCACTGGAATGCAGTGTGTAGGCTAGCTGAAGCATCAGTAGGCGCCTCGTTTTCGTGCAAGATCACGTGATCACGCGCAGCGCCGGGACCGCTTTTCAAAATGGCCGCGGAGATTGGAATTACGTCTATTGCACCAGTTTGGACAGCTGCAAGGCATGAGTACATGATGAAAAGGAACAATGGATAAAAACAAGGACATTCAACACAACCTTGTGTTGAACGTCCTTGATAGAAATAAGAAGGAAGTACATGTACATGTACATGGGCAGCCCCACCTAGTACATATATAAGTTACTACCTTCCTCAAATTAAGAAATGTTACATACATAAGCCCTTGACAATATTTCTAACAGCCTTTAGTTAACTGATACTAGTAATAGCCATTAATACCTAAAATTAAAAAGCATCTGCCGGATACAGTGGTACAAGCCAAGTGGGCATGAATTTTTTTTGGGGGGGGGGGGCACAGGTAGCACACTTGGCTACCTAGGTTCAAAAATAGGTTGCCCCAAGTAAGATTTGGGGGCAACCTTGAAACTCATTTTTGGGAATAGGTGCACTGGTGCACCCAACCTACAAAATTGGGTGCCCAAAATATTTGATTAGGTGTACCATTTAAGAAAAAATAAGTAGAATGTCAGCAAAAACTATATAAATAATTTTATTAATGTTAATTTATGTTAAATTCCAAGAAATGTGCTATAACATTGAATGTATTATTTTTTCTGACACTTTGAAGTTAAGAATATGCTGGAACTACTATACATTTAAAATCTTTACATACGTTAAAACTAAGAAAATATTTGGGTACACCATGGAGTTATAAGTGTATAATAACACCATGGGTGTACTGGTACACCCACAGATAAAAATTGGGTGCACAGCTCCAATTTTGGGTGCACTAAAGTGCACATGCGCCCAGTCTTTCACACCCACAAAACTGTAGTGTAATGTTTTTGCTGTAGTTCAAAACTTCATTTACTGCACTACGGGTAGTAATTGATAGATCACCAACTTGTCTTGTTTGTATTTATCTTGGTTTTATCCACCTTGTAATTATGCATGTCGATTGTATCTTGTCAATGTGTTTTATACTCGTTGTATGTTTTTGAGTAGAAGGTGTTATGTAAGCAACTTTTGTTTTTTGCCCAATACTCAATAAATATATGTGAATAAATAAAAAAATATATTTTGAGCCTTGCTTAGGCCACACCAATTTAATTTCTTGGTTAACGGATTCGCCCGCTTCATTTTTTTCTGATTTGCAAAATAAATAAATATATTTTGCCCTGAACAGTTGAAAACAGTCCTTTTCTTCCTACTTGTTATAGTTATTCCATCTTTCAATGCAATGGTATCTTTAAAAGTTCAAAATCATTGTTTAAATTTTGAACCAGCTGGTGTGTTGACTTCATGGCTCCTATCGTACCATTTTTGGCCATAATAGGATGCATAGGCCAGTTTTTATTTTAATTTTTTTTTCGCCTGCCCGCACCATTATTTTTCTAGAAAAATGCGTTAACCAAGAAATTAAATTGGTGTGGCCTTAATGCCTGCCACACGCTGCCCTCCAAATGTCGCCAGGCCTTCACTAATCTCTGCCACCGACAGGGGATGCCAGACCTGACAATCATCATCATCAATCACTGTGTTCTGCGTCTACACTCGCGTGGAGATGTCCTGTAGCCGCATTCGACTTCTTTCTTCATCTCTTTCCACCGTGTCTTCTGCTTCAAGAGTCTAAGCTCCTTGAGTTTCTTTTCTGTTGTGGGAGGGCCTAGCCTTCTGCGTTTCAGGTCTCCCTTCAGTAGGCTGAGTACTAGTAGGTTGATACAGTGTCTCCCTTTGCGAGCTTTATATCTCTTAGAGCTAAGGAATGAAAATTCCAGACCTTTTTGTGCAGTTGTGTCTTGTGGCATTCTGAGAATATGTCCGAACAGAGACCACCTGAGTTTCTCAACTTTCATGGAGAGAGGTTCCATATTGCAGACCTGACAATGCAGACCATTTATTTTGCCGATTGGCTGTCGGTGGAAGTCCGTGCGCAGTAGATAACACGACTGTCTGACAACCAGTCAGCCATTGATTTATGTCTAGACGAAAGTTCCAGCTTTTGGCATTTCAGTTTCAGGGCTACCTGCTGCAATTAACTGTGCTGTGAATATAACCGATACTACTTCATTTGTACAATATGTTCATATCTGTTTATTAACATGAATATTTTGGAGTTGCCTGGAGATGACTACTTTGTATATCAGCTTTGTGATCAGTTTTAGTTTGAGAATTATATCATGGTAATAATTCTCCCGACCTGATATAATATTATATAATGCTTTGAATGGTGAATGGCCATATATATATATATATATATATATATATATATATATATTATATATATTTATTCCATTTGTTGCAAGATTTTGATTGTATTTTATTTTTGCTTCTAATTTATTCATTCTTTGTTCTGCCACTAGCTGTATAATGTCTCCTACAGAACTAGTTACCTTGGTGAAAGATGTCTAGTCTAGGCAATTTAGGTTGGATAAGAAGGAACAGAGCAAAAACAATAATTTATTTGTACATACATGTAGATTTTATTTTTTATTTTATTCACATGGATTTTTGAGCATTGGAAAGGAAGCATGTGTGTGCTTATGTGAATCCGCTGCTCATAAAACATTATACAAATGTAAACATAAAGATGACTTAAAGTATAACATAAACATAAAAATGAAAGTGGCTGGCGCACCACTACCTATAGCGTTAATGTGGTTGGTCCAATCTTCCAGTGTGATGAATATAGTTGAACACAATATCAAAGATATGGCAGTTAGTAGGGTATGGGAGGGAGGGGCTACCTGTAAGAAGTAAAGTACATAATGTGGCGTCATTACCTCCGGGTAGGGATGTATATCCCGAGCGCGGAGGTTTTGTGAGGGAAGACGAAAATTGCGTTCGCACCCGTTTCTCGCGTTTGGGTGGACGGATATGTCTGGGACTTGGTATACGTTTTGCTGTTGGGCTGTAGATGGTGCACGTTGTTTTGGTTTTTTAGTATGTGTGTTTTAGTGCGTCAAAATGATGCGTTTAGACCGCCGATGGACACCCCTTTCAGTGTGAAAGTGGGCCTCAGCTTTTGACCTTTGCATGTATAAGGACGATTGAGGTCGCGACCACTGATCTGACCTTTCACACAGAGGGGTGTCAGCATTGTCGATAAATTCTTTCTTTGAAACTGTTCAGATGTGAACCACATGTGCCGTCAATCAACGTCTCATTATCGTGCCTGTGGGACCCGCTGGGGGGATACCGGCCGTGTCTGAAACAGGGCTGCTATTCACACTGATATCTAAACAAACACATGGCGGCACGACCTGAATATATCCCCGCCACTTGTGCTAACCGTGGCAAATATGTCGCTGTTCTTAGCTGCCTGCCGCGGTTTGGTACCGGTTAAATCTAACAGGAATCAATGAAACCTTGCTGATAAGATTGCGATTTGTTTTCGAAAATATTATTTTGTCTCGTGTTTGTAACGTTCGCTCAAAATGAGGTTCTAAGTTTTAACCGTAACATGAAAGATATGAACACGCTTCTGTGCATGTTTTGATGGGGTTTTTTTACTGATTTGAACTAGTGTGGGATAAGTGGGGAGGGATGGCAGCCGCGGGGGGAAGCGTAGCGGCTTGATACATTTTCGAGAGCAAGTTCCGTTCCGCGCACTGGAGTTGATCGCTGGTCGCTGAGGGTC